AAGAGAAGAAAGGGTTTGGAGCAATGGAACAGTGCTGGCGGCACCAGCTTCTATTATATTATATAGGGCGACAGAAATAAGAAGGGAAAAGACTCCTGTGCCCCTTCTGTAAGTGAAGTACAATAACAAAAAATAAAAAAAGGATTTAACTAGCCAAACAGACCCTAACACAAATAACTAAATTATTTCAACAGAGGTTAATGAATTGGACCAGGCAAAGTGGGGGAATACTGAGTACACAAATTGAGTGTGAACTGCTACCAAGACAGGGACAAGCACAGGGTGTATGTACAGTGGGAAGAGAGTCAATTCAAGAGAAAAGAACTAACGTACCAGGAGACATGATGCCAATTGTGGGACAGTTTGAAAATACATCTATTAAACTTCTCCATACACAGCAGGTTGATATCTTGGGAGGCAAGGAAAACACCCTGGGAAAAGAATTGCATGAACAAATTCCTTCAGTTCCCCCTAGCCCACTTGTTCAGGTCTCTAACCCTGAAGGTAAATGTACTGTTTTGCTACTAAGGCCTCCTCTGAAGCTTGTGCAGATACCCCAGCAGTATGAAATAGGAAAGTGAGATAAGAGGTGTTCTGATTGAAGGGGAGAGTGAGATAGGAGGCGATACTGTTCTGGGAAGTAATTTTTGGAATTTTGGGGAGAGAGAGTCTGAGGGAGAGGATAGTTACAGCAGCAAGATGAGAAGCAAGAGGGAGAAAAAGAAGGGGATTTGGAAGAGAAGAGAAAGGAGCTAAAATTCGGTCAGAACAGGAGGTTGTATCTGGGGTAGGGGATGGTCAAGATGGTTGTAGAGAGAGGAGGGGGTCTAGAGGTCACAGGAGATGTTACTGCTTTGGGGAAGGGAGAATCCATGAAACCTAGCTAATAGGTTGGGTACTTGGGTCTAGAGATTAACACCCCTAAGGAAATTAAATCCTATGTAAGCTTTTTTTTTTTTTTGAGAAATAGGTAAGATATTGTATTAATATTTACTGTAAAAGATCAAAAAATACAATGTAAGAAAAAAAATAGGGGAGAGGAGAAGAGGAAGACAAATTAATGAAGTGGAAAAACTAAAGTTGGATGTGAAGGGAGATAAGGATCTTAGTGGAAGGACTGATAGAGAGGGTTGAACCAGTAAGGGAGTCAATAGGGTGGGACAGAAGTTATCAGAAATAAAATGAAGATAGTAAGCTGGAATGTAAGGAGATTGGAATTACTACCAGAAGAAGGGTAATAAAGGAAGTACTTAGGAAAGAAAACCTGATATATTTATGATCTAGGAATCAAAGTTGCATGAGTTCGATAGGAGATGGGCTAGAAGTTTGTGTGTGTAATAGAAATTAAATGGGCCTTAGCACCCTCTTGTGGTGCATTTGGAGGAATAATCACCTTGTGGAGGGAAGAAATATCTAGAGGAGTTAATAGGAAGTTTTACTCTCTTTAAAGCTCAAGAACATGGATGATGAGTTTGTGTGGGTCTTAACAAATTTTTTATAGATCCAATTCTTATAGAGAGAGAACTTTGGAGGCTTGTGGGAAGGTTCATGGTGTGTTGGTAGAGAATTTAATGTAACCAGATTCTCAAATGAATCTAATAATCCAAGACAAAGGGTGACTACCAGCATGAGAAGGTTCAACAATTATTTTGAGACTTGGAGCTTAAGGAAATTTCTTCTGAACAAACAAGATAATCATGGTCTAACCTTCAAGAGAATCCCATATGTTCTAAATTGGATAGGTTCCTAGTGTCCATGGAGTGGGAAGAACATTGGGATAGACTCTTTGGAAAGACCCTCCCTAGAGCCACTTCAAGCCATTGGCCTATATGCATTTTTCAAGAGAGGGATGTAGGAAGCCTTTATCCTTTCAAGTTTGAGAACATGTGGCTCAGTCGACGTAGAGGATCAAAGAGGGAGATGGAAACACCAAGTTCTTAAATAATGCTGCTAATGACAAATGGAGGAAAAATTATCTCTATGTTGGAGGTTGATGGAAGAATCATCATGGAGGAGATGACTAAAGCTTTGGTGGATCATTTTAAATCTATATATAGAAGGTCACTAGATGGGAGGTGGAATCTTGAGGGTTTAGATTGGTCACTAGTGGGGAAGGACCATTGTGAAGTGTTGGAAAGGAAAATTGAATTGGAGGAGATTTGGGGATACGGATAGGTCTCCAAGGCTCTATGGCCAGATGGGTTCACAAATAAAAAAAAAAAAGAATGTTTAATGAGTTCTGTTGAGGTTTTAGACAAATTGTGTAGTCTATAGTGGCAGCTTTTGATTATTTATTGTTTAGATAGGAAGTGGGGACCAAAGCACTCTTGTTGGGTCTTTTTTGAGTAGTTATTTTAAATGTTATATGCTGTTTTGTGTGTTAGCCACCCTATAAAGGGCATATTGGTCTTTTCACTCTTTATTATTTTAGACTATAAATAATAGTGAAGAGGGTGGCCAGCACTATTGTTCTCTTTTCTTTCTCCTTTCTTCTCTTCTTCTTCAAGAAAGATTCTTTTCTTTTACAGATTTTTTATTTCAGCACTTTTCTACTAGTTCCACCACGAGGGTTTGTCCGTTCAGGCATAAATGCTACTTTTATCACCTTAGTCCCTAAGAATTCAAATGCTAGTCACCCTAGGCCCATCAGTTTGGTTTCTAGCTTGAATAAAATCACTGCCAAAGTACTTTCCTTAAGGATTAAAAAAGTCCTTTCGATTATCACTCATTTCTAGGGAGTTTTTGTTCAAGAGAGACAGATTATGGACCATATTCTTATTGCAAATTAATGTGAAGAGGAATTAAGGAAAGTAGGGAGGAAAGATGTCATGCTTAAATTAGATTTAGAGAAAGCTTATGATCTTGTGGATTAGGACTTTCTAATATAAGTTCTGAGGAACATGGTTTTGGGGAGAAATGGTGCAAATGGATAAGGGGTTGTCTACAAACTTGTCACTTTTCATTGTGAATGGTATGAAAGATTTATTTGGGCCTATTAGAGGATTTAGGCAGGGGGACCCACTTTCACCTTTTCTTTTTACCCTCATTGTTGATGTGCTTGGTAGGGTTACTTCAAGAGTTAATAGGCTGCAGTTAACTAGAAGGTGGAATGTAGAAGAGGAGTCATGGTGATATACAATTTGCTGATGATATAATCATTTTTTGTGATCGGGAAAACAAATGATTTGAAAATTAGAAGTTTGCAATGAGGCTATGTGAGAAAATGTTAAATTTGAAGGTTAATTGGGGTAAGAGTATGGTGGCTGGATTAAATTTGGAAGAGGGTGAATTTGAAAATGTTGTGGTGTTACTGGAGTGTTTGTCTTATGAATGGCCGATGACTTACCTAGGTCATCCCTTAGGTGCCAACCCTAGAGCTAGCAATTTGTAGAATCTAGTATTAGAAAAATCTGAGTAGGCAATGTGGAAAAGGGCTACATTTCCCTTGGGGGTAGAATTACTTTGATCAAAACCACCTTTTTTTTTTTTGAAGAGTAAGAAAAAAGGACCATTTCCTTTGGGGTAATCTTCCAGTGTACTTTCTCTCTGCTTTTAGGATGCCAAATGCATTGTGAATAGGATTGAGAAGATTTTGACAGATTTCTTTTAGGAACTTGGGGAAGAGAAGGATCATTTGGTGAAGTGAGAGATAATGTGCAAGAGGATGAAAGAAGGGAGATTGGGTTTAGGCAATCTGAGCAAGAAGAATCTGGCACTCTTGGGTAAATGGTTGTGGAGGTTACTGTGAGAAATTGTAGCACAAGGTGGTGGCAAGTATACATGGGCTTAAAGACAAGTTGACAACCCATACTTCACCTTGGAAGCCATCTATAGTATCTTTCTCTCATATCAATTATAATCTTTCTTCTGGTAATAAAATTAAATTTTAGGAGGACCTTTGGGTGGGGGAGACTCCTTTCAAAGATCTCTTACCTTCACTTTTTACCGTTTCCGCCCTTGAGGGCACAATTGTTTCTAAGTTTGTTTTACCTTCCCTCTCTTCCTCTGGTTTTGACTGGAATTTGGGTTTTAGAAGAAACCTAAAGGAATTGGAAATAGTCCAAGTTCATGCTCTCTTGAATCCAGTGTTTTAAAAGGCGTGGGAGGCGTACGCCTGGCCTTTAAAACCTAAAGTAATTTGGGTTTTAGAAGAAACCTTGTCTTCAAATTTTTTAAGCCTCTGGCCTTTAAAACCTTCTCTTTTTCTCATAGTAATATAATTTTTATAGCTACTAGTTGGAAACACAAAAATGAGGTAAGAACTAAGATAGAAAATTGAAACAACAATGAAAAGAAAAATAAAAAATCATCACAATTGAAAGAATGTAGTGAATAACCTCAATACATGGTAAATGAAGATCATATTTGATATTTTTCAGTGATTTGGAAATGCGCAGGGAAGACCAACAAAAGGCATCAGAAAGTGGTAATTTGGTGAAAAATGAAGGCTCAAGCAAGGAAAGGGGAGAATGAAGAGAATGTGGAAGAAACATGATATAATGCTAGACGTTGCACTATAAATATTTGGCATTGCGAAAGAGAATCCATTTATTGTCCTAACAGAGTCTTGGGATAAATCCAATTATCATAGTGAATGATCCAGCTTATACAACACTTCCAAATCAAACTACAGTCTAAATAATGATGTAAAAGAATCTCAAGTTTTTTAGTGTTCATGTCAGACATCTTCAATCTTTATTTCACACTAAGTGTCAATGTCCAATTCATATAGACCATACAACTAAAATTGTCTTGAGGTTTCTTGCTATGAAGAACTCTACACTCTTACAACATGGATATTCACATAGAATTTGTCCACTTATGTTCTCCAGTTCCAAGAAAGGGTAAAGGAATTTTCCATAATCATTATTGAGCATATTGAATTTTCAACAGTAGTTAAAGTCTATAAAATAAACTAAAGAATAAAAAATTACTAAAGCTGCTTCTGTGCAGATACAAAATAGGCAAAAGGTTCATCTGATAGCAATAATGAGAAATACCTGTACTCAGTTGCTAAGCTTTTTCTTATCAATAGGATTGAAGATACAAAATACATTCCCATGATCTCAGAGAGGAAAAGCACAACATTGGTAGATGAGCCACTTCCAACTCTAGAAACTGCAAAGAAGAACTATATGTAGAAACAAGACATTGGTTAGTATAAAAATGACCCCTGACTATTACCTATTTCAGCTTAATTACAACCTACTCTTTGAAATGTTTCAGTACCTCATTGGATGTATTTCTGACTTTCCCCATAAATATATTCAACCACTGATATCACCCACTTTGTTTGATGATATCAGAAATAATTGAAGTTGGTTTATTTATACTTCACCTTTATAGACTTGGTTCACTTAATATAAATCACTTAAATGCTTAAGATTAAACTAAAAGAGCAAAACTTTCTACAAATACCATAAAAGCAGTGTTCTAATTTATATTGAAAATAGAACATAAAGAACTAAAAGAAAGAAGCACAAAGATATTTTAATTTATATTGAAAACAGAATATGCAAAACAAAAGGGAAGGAGCCCAAGGATAAGGTACCTTCATTAGATTTGTTAAAAAGCCACGGACAGATATCACAATCAACATCCCAATGAACATCAAAGAGACATACTGCATGTAAGAAACAACCCCATGAATTACAAAGAAACGCCATCATAGCTATGTCAAGACATCAAAATATATGTAATAGGAAGAAATAATTAAAACTCAGAAATAACCTAGAAAAGGATACCAAAGGTGGTGATGTCATTCATTTGCTTTTCTCGACAAACTAACTACAAAAATATCCACATTTTGCTTCCCAAACTTGTGAACTATAACCATCTTATGCATTCTTAGGATTATTTAAACTAGTGAATATGCAACACTTGTTAGGGTTTAAAAGGCGTTCCTTAAGTGCACCTAGGCGCACGAGGCACATTTTAAGGCATGTAACTTTCTTTAAGCTTGCTTGTTTAGTTATTTTTTAATACCATTCTTATATATTTCAACCTTTGTAATGGCTTATTAACTTTTGAATTACTTTTTATTGATTCTTATGCACTAGTAATGGTCTATTAACAAAGAAACAAAAAACAAAGACCTTTTGAATACATGAAACCCTAGTTTTGCAAATAGGATCTCAAATAGAAAAATTTCCACTGAAGAAGCAACAATGATACAACTGATCTCTGATCCCTAACCCTAGAATAGAATGAATGCAACCAAAATCATAAAACCAACCCCCTTAAAAATTCCAGCCAAAATTTTGGACAAGTGGCATTGTCTCCAAACCCCTGACATGGTCTTGTTTGGACTTGCTTCAAGGGACTTTGAAGAGATATCAGTATAAAGGCCCCAACCTCCTAAGATTAAGAATACAAAACATCTAACATTACACTAGCTACTTAAAGTAATGCAACAAGGAGAATTTAAGAGTTCATTTGTTTGCTTTAACTTTTATTTTGAATTTGCTTGCTCTTGTACATATCCGCATTATCTCCCCTCTTATCCTCTCTCTCTCTCTCTCACCACTGTATCCAGTGCACCCCTCCCAAGGAGAAACAGTGGTGAGAGAGAGAGAGAGAGAGAGGTAGGGCTTTAGGTAAGAGTAAAAGACATGGGCATTTCTTTGATAGAGTGAGGTCAGTTTTGGAACAAAAAAAGATATAAAGAACCTCTTAGCTTACAAAGAGGAAGATGGGCATCTGAGCTACTAAGAGGAATCTTTAAATTTAACAGTACAGACTCAGATGTTGTAGAAAATGGTCTGGAATGTCTGAAAAGTTTGAAAAGTCATCTTTTCAGATATCAGATGTCCATTCAGTTGAAACAAACAAGCCCTAAGAAGTAAGAACCCTCTTGGAATACCCTGTGCAAAAATCTCTAAAGATGATGCCACACAGCAGTCCTGAAGGATATTTTGGAGTTCAACAATCAGATATGTAGCCCATCTCTTAACAAGGTTAAATTCTTCAAAGACCAAGAAGGAGTGGGGGAGCTGATGCAGGCCCAGTCAAGAAACCAAGCTGGGCCTGGCTGGACATTCCCAAACATCCCTTTTATGCCATGGGACTTCACTTTTAGAGCCAACCCCTTCATTTTAAGCCAATGGACCTCTCAGCATGGCTCATATTTTGTGTGTTTTATTTTATTTTATTTGGTTGTTTGATTAACAAGGATAGGATTTCTTTTCTTCTTGAAGTTAGTAAATGAATTTAGTTTGTTTTCCTTGCAACTATGGAGTTTGAACATTCAAGGTGCAGCACAAACTCCCTTGTTTACCTCTTCCTTGGGAAGCATGCCCAACCAATTCTTTTTTTTTTTATTTCTGCATTCATCTAGCATATATAACCAGAAAGAAAACAACTGGAATAACAAAAAACTTTCAAAGTGGAGAAAGAAACATCAAATGATATAGTAATATATAGGTGGTATTTTCTGTTATATGCTTTGTTAGGTTAGTTGGAGATAACATAAATGAAGGTGTTCCAATAAATTTCAACAGCAATTTATTAATATAGATGTTATGTCTACCTGAGATAACAGTGCAGCATCAATACCAATATCGAAGAACTGCAAGAATATGCTGATTGTCATTGTCACTGGATCAACAGAACCAGCCTGTCAGGGGGAAAAAAAGGAATTGTAGGAAACTAACTGCATCAGCTGCTGCTTATTTAACATAATAAATATAATTAAAAGGCAAGACCAGTATGTTAAACAAATTAGAACTTAAATACAAAGCAGACAAGTGCAATCAAATGTAACATGATTCATGACACAAGCACTCTTTTGCTTTCTCTTTTTCATGGTCAGCCCTTGACATTTCTGTTACAATGATTCTCATGACCCTACCCATGGGAATCAGGTCATGTACATGTTAATAAAACTAAGTGCTGCTACTTATCAAAAGAAATTCATAACATATACACACCTGCTTGAAAACAACACTCTGCAAAGACTGCATAATACAACAAAATCAGTCAGGAACTTTGCCTGGTAGAAACTAACTAAACATAATAACTAAATAAATAAACAATGAGAAAGTAATGGTGGTAAAGCCTGCATATATTAAATGACATAAAGACAAAATGTGGCTAGAAATATATCCTTCAACATGATAAAAAATTATCAAGTGCATGGAACTTAATTTCTATATGCACAGCATCAGTGCCACTAAGTCATTTAAAATTTTTTTCGATCAATAGAAAATTGATTATGTTAAATAATTATATGTGAGAACATTGCAATTTTATGACCAAGACATCATCCCCATGAATATAACTGTGTTACAAGGGATGCCCAAAACAATTGCTGCCTTGCTGCCCCTCGTTTAGCAAGGGAGTCAGCTAACCCATTTGACTAAGTCATTTAAAATATTAAGACTTGGTGAATGGTGACCAATACGAGAAACATCAATTGCTCATATAGCTATACTATGTCAACACTAAGCTGAGATTAGTCTTTACATAAACAGGTGGATCCTAGCAGGGAGGACGAAAGAACTTGGACCTGGGAGGAGAATTCTGGATCCTTCACAATAAGATCCTTCTACAAACATCTCACAGATCCTGCAGGTGTTCAGTTTCCTCGCCGCAAGGTTTGGGGTGCAGCAGTTCCTTCCAAAATAGCTTTTTTTTGGACTGCTACTTGGGGCAAGATTATTAGAATCAGTGAATCATTTGCTTCTCCATTGTTCCTTTTAATTCATGATTTGGTCAAAAATACTAGGATTCTTTCCAGCATCTGTATTGGAATGCTTTATGCTTGGAGAATTGAGTTTACAAAGGCTCAAGTAAGAAAGGAAGAGTGGCATGGAATATAGCTCCAGAAGATATGTTTTGGGCAATTTGGCAGGAAACAAATGAAAGTGTGTTTCATAACAGAGCCAGTTTAGTGAAAGAAGACTCTAGAAGAGTCATTAGAATGATGAACTCTAGGTTGGCAAACCATAAACTTTTTGAAGGAAGAAGATATAGTACATTTTTCTTGTTAGATAATCTTTTTGTAAGCAGTCAAGGATTGGCTTTTTGATGTATCTTTGGCTTCATACATTCTTATCTATCTATCCTTGGCTCACCCAAAAAAAAGATGAAAATTTCTGGCCCTATTCGCTTTTCAGTAAGTTACCAATCTGGGATTCCATGTTCTTTTATTTCCCAGGTAAATAAGACAATGACCATTTTAGCCATGAAAATCCATTATTAAAAGGGGCATATTTGTCCCATCCAAGTGTTGGCAACTTTCCCCCAGGTGAAAAAGTTATTTACCCACCTGGGAAATGGGTGGTAACCAGGAAAATAAATTTTCCAGGTCCCCACATAAACCTGAAAAAAAAACATGGGTTTCTTGGTCAATGGGAACCAAAATCCCATTGACCACCCCCCCCCCCTTTTCAAAATCCCATTGGTCAATGTGGCATATTAAAGCTTTCATCAATTAAGGCACTCAACCATAGTTGTCAAGGCAACGCCTAGGCAGGCGCCTAGGTGACAAGGCGCCCTTTGAGGCTCGCCTCACCTAATCGCCAAGCTGTTTTGTACTTTCTATTATAAAATACTTTTTTATTCTTTATTTTTTTGAGATTATAATTATAAAATAGAGATTATTAAACTAAAATATTCATTTTGTGTGTTTATATACTAATTTCTTTTTATTATTTTCCTATTTGTTAGGGTTTAATCAACACAAACATTGCTAAATGCTGTATTGAACCCTCAAAGACTTCAAAACCTGAACCAAAGTAAGGAAGAACTTAAAAGTGCCTAATCAACACTTTTCCTATAACAATGATAAGGGTTCAGCCCCTATATTTTTTTAATTTTCTTTTCCTTCTTCTTTTTCTTCTCATGAATATGTTGATTTTCTATACTTTAACATGAACTTTATACTTTTCTCATGAAAATTATGAAAAATTATTAAGGAAATATGGTTATGGTACCTAGGGTCTATGTTTTTTACATAAAAAAATCCATCGCCTAGGCAGGCACCTAGGCGACAAGGTGCTCCCCTGTTGCCTAGCCTCGCCTTGGTGCCTTCAAAACTATGCACTCAACACAAGGCCAGACAGTGCAAAGGATCATCTATTGAATAGGCAGTCAGGATTAGCAACACCACCCCTGCACATAGCTTAAAGGGCATCATGTAGCAAAATGATCTCAGATAGCTATCTAGAAAATTTCCTTCTATTTCAAAAGTTATGAATGGGTTTATTATGGAAGCTTGAGATTCCAGGTTCTTTGGATCATAAACCATCACTTGCCAACACACGTTCATGTTCACAAAAATACAGTTGGTTAGTAACATGTTGATTAGTGTTTTAAAAGCACAAGGCGCAAAAAAGGCACATGGGTCAATTTGCGCCCAAGGCACAAGGCGAGGCACGCGCCTTTTTGAAGCAAGGTGCAAAAATAAAAAATGCTAAAAATAAAAAAATGCCAAAAAATCAAAAAATATTAAACATAATATTAATAAAAAATATAAACTTAAATTTTAAAATAAATGTTTTAAAAAACTTACTATCTAAAATTAAAATAAATAAACATAACATGTAAAGCATATTCAAATGAGAATTTAAAAATAAAATCAAACATATAAAACATTTTCAAGCATGTAAAACCCACAATCTCTTTTTTTCCTCAATTGCATTACTCCAAGTAGCTAATGTGATGTAAAACATGTTACATTCCTAATTCTACAAGCTGCCTCTGTGCCACGCCCCTCGAGGCAAGCCCAAACAAGTTCATGTTAGGGTCTTAAATTCTTAGTTCTCACACAAAAAATAATGATTTTATAATTTTAATTGCTTTTTAAAAAGATATTTTATTAGGATGAATGAATGAACAATATTACCAAATAGGGGGTTCTCGGAGCTTTGGTGAGCGAGCGAACCAGCCGCTAGGTTCGAAAAAAGCATCAAATTTTCAAAAGGTGCATGCCTAGGCTGTGGCACAAGGCACATCAGGCGCACTAGGCGTGTACCTTGTTGTGTGCCTAGGCACGCCTTTTAAATCACTGATGTTGATGTGGAGAAGCCAAGGTATTTTCACAAAAATGTAGAACTATTAAACCTTGGGAATTAACTCAAGCTTTAAACATGGCTTTTATTGTCAAACATTAACCAAATTGTTCATCGTTGATAACTAAATATGTGATCTCCACAGAAATATTTACCAGTGACAATTCATAGACTACAAACTAATTTCCAATAAATTTTTTGGTAATAAATAAAAAAGAAATTTCATTAGAGGAAAAAATAGAAAACAAGTATAACTGGGGGTGATGAGAGGTCATCCAACAAACAAAAACAAAAATACATAAACAAAGAAAACACTCAACAACTTTCATCCCCCCAGTTCCACCTCTAAGACTGAACAAAAACCTATCCAAAAGGAGTCTATAATCATCCACAAATTCTGGAAGAATCATGATCCAGTCCGAAATTCTTTTCCCAATAATTGAGACAAGACATTTATGACACTTGTGTTGGTCTTCAAAGAAACTTCTATCTATCTCCTTCCATAATTCCCAACAGATAGCAAAAGGAACATAACTCCATGCTTTCTTTGCCTTTCTGCTTCCATTCAAGACATGATTTTGAAATTCCCAGAAGCAGTTTCCACTATACTAATAGGAAAACTGTTTTAAAAAAAGTTTAAGTTTATGATAACATCACATCATTATTAAATAGTTTAATGATATGAATGAGTAACCAGAACTAACAGAAGAACCAAGGTGATTATTACCCAGAAAAAAGGTAAATACCTTTATCATCTTATATACACAATAGACAGAACAGGCATAACCTAGGAGATTCTGTAAGTGACCCCTCCATGTTCGAGAATAAGCAGCTGCTTCCTGCAAAAATTATAGAAAACACCAACTGGTTCTCAAGTAAAATCAAAGAACATAATTAATGACCAGTCCATCAGCTAACCCTTTACATAATAAATTCATCCCATAAAAAGAAAATTCAATAACTTGACATTGCTTTGGAAAAATAAAACAAAAATTTTGCCTCAGGAAACCTGAGCAATTAAAAGTCTTAAACCTTAGCTTGACGAAGCTCATATATCTCCAAGAATAGCTGCTTTGAAAGCTCCTCCAATGCCTGGACCTCTGCTTCCATGCTTTTAATATCTTGACAATATCAACAACAGATTAGAGCTGGAAAATGAGGGGGAAAAGCAAAGGCTATGTAGTGGAACCAAACGGACAACATATTATGTTGCAAAGAACAAACCAAAACTATGCAAATTGCAGTGAAGTAAAATATTGACACTTACTAATGCCTAAAAAGTTTTGTGCTTACAGATCAACAACACCAATACAATTGGAAACAGAAAAAAAGAAAATGCATAATGCACGCTTTTCTTGCCACTCATGCAACAGCCCCCACCCAAAAAAAACCCAAGTCCGGGCATGAAAAACATAGTTCAGCGTCCACCTCAAAGTCCTCTTTTTTCTTTTGCACAAGAAATAAAAATCTTTGATGTAGATGGTTGGTGGAAATGCAAAAGATTACTTCCCATACATGCAGTTGTTAAAAGGAAAGTTTAAGGGTGGTAATACTACTAATAGCTTCAAGGCAATAAGTTGGGAAGGCAAGGGATGGGGGTAGGATAGTTAAGCCAAGAAAAGTACAAGACATGGTGTTGTGTATTGGTTGAGCTACTCCTCCAAGTAAGAAGAATATTTAGTGCATTGTTATTTTTGAAACTTAATACCACTAATAACTTTCAGCCTTCACAGTGCATTGTTATTTGTTCTTTGTAATATCTCAGGGTTTGTAAAACTGGTCCTGCCATTATGTTAAGGTTTGTAAAATAATTGCTTCTAAAGATTAAAATTGCCAATTTGATCTCTGCTATTTCTCCTTTCTAGTTGGACCATGTATGTTTTGAGCTAGGAACAAGAGATACTTCAATGTCAGCAATGGAAAAAATGCAAGAAAACTGAGAAAATGAATGAGATGGTTGTTAGTTCGACTAGAGGCATGTTCAATTGGCTTAAGTTACTCAATAGATGCTTGATTGGATGATTTGTTAACTCTGCACCAGATGCGGAAGATGTGTGAACTTGGGAAATGGCTGAATGGCATCCAAGTAGCTCCTTTTAGGTGAGGATACTCGATGCGGATTTCTTTCTTTTTCTTTCAGTAATGATGATGAAGTTCTTGATACCCTCAAATGTGAACAATATCAATTATGATGCCCCGAATTAAGGTTGGGGAGATGGAACCCCCTAGTTGGGGCTTTGAGAAACATGGAGCCTTCAAGCTTCATCTGGATAAATGTCTTTGGTTGGAATCCTGTGATCTTTTTAAGGATTTCTCAGCTGAAGACATTTATAGAAGTTGGGGTATTGTGGCATCTACTACTACTTCCAAAGCTATGATACAGGAAGTTTGGTCCCCACTGGCACAACAAAGGGTGAAACTGAACTTTGATGGAAGCTCTATAGGTAATCCGGGCCCATCTGGTATAGGAGGTGTTTCAGAGATAATGAAGGCAAGATAATGGCTCTGTTTTCAGGTCCAGTAGGAGTTGGAGATTCCTTAAGAGCGGAAAACTTGGCACTACATCAAGGTGTAAAACTGGCCAAACAATTGGGGCTACAGTAGATTGAGATAGAGGGAGACTCCAAGTTGGTAATTGGGTGGATGCAATCAGGGCAGCTGGGAATTTGGCAATATAGACAGCTGATAAGGGAAATTCTTAGCATAACAAGGGAGGTGGGTGTTTGGTTCAAGTGGGTAAGGAGATCAGCAAATGGTTTTGCTGATGCCCTAGCAAAACAAAGGACTGTAAGGGAGAGACTTTATTGGGCAGTGCTGTAATGTTTGATGTTTATTGGATCAACCTTTTCTAATAAGGGTTGACTTCTGTATTTCAGTTTAATTTATCTCTAATGAAAGTTATCATTTCTGATCAAAATAAATAAATAAACAAATGTCTTTTGGTATTCCTTTGTATGCTTAGAGCTTTCAAACATTTAGGGCTGTTGGGGATGCATGTGGGAGGTTCTGGTTCGTCAACTCAAGAACCAATGTGTGGAAGAATCTAGTCACTGCGGGTATTCTAATTGAGATGGAGGAAATTAATCTCTTTCCAATGTCTTTGCTGCTTCATTTTGGTAGAGAATGTTTTGATCTAAGAGTGGTAGTGGAAGGGACTTATCTTGGTAGGTGGGTCGATACTATGGATTCGCGGAAGGAGGAGAGGAGTATATTTCATTCATCAACTAGTTCGAACCTGTGGAAGTTGAAAGGGTTCTCAATAGAGGAAGGGTTGGAGGTTGAAGAAGACGCATTTTTGGAACAAAAAAGATGATTATGACAGTGCGGATAGTGTGATTTCAAGACATTGGGAAGGTGCAGAGTTGTGATTTCAAGAAGAGTTCAAAAAAGGGTGAAAGAAGTGGGATCCACTCTAAGTTGATTAAAGAGAAGAAAAGGCCTGGCCCACTTGCTTTAGTGGTTAGTGATATTGGAGGGAAAGAGACTGAGGGACACATTGTTGGCTAAGAGGAGTTGGGGTGGATCTGACAAGGAAGATGGAAAGCCTTCAATGCTGGATTTTGAAGAGGTGTCTCGTGCTAGGAAGTGGGATGCCGGTTTGACTAGGGCCCACTCTTGAAAGCCTGAACCTAAAAATGTGAGGATGCCTATCAAGTTATTTGGGTTAAGGGTGAATAGAAGCTTAGTCACTTTTGAATGTCCAAAGGTAATTAGCCATAGGAGATTGAGCAAAACTTTTTTGGACAAGGATCAAAGGGGAAAGGAAGAACAATGGAAATGGGCAATTTTTAGGTATGATAGAAGTAAGAAGAAGGTAACTGTGAAGGCTGCGTGCATAATGATCATGAAGTTGACCGAAGCTTTGCCAATATCGATTATGCCCCGGTATGCTACATTCAAAATAGGGATGAATGAATCTATGGCAGAATATGAAGCTGTGATCCACAAGGAGAATGTTGGTGTATTGTCTCAGGATTCTATCTCTGATGCAAAAGAGATTTTGGTAATGTTTCTATCAAGATCCTTAAAGAAGAGAAGATTGGGTTGAAGGAGAGGAAGGAGGACACAAGAGGGGTAGTTGCTGCCGATTCAAGAAGAGAGCTTGGAGTTGGCAAAGGAGGAAGTGTTGACATTGATGCGGATTGTAGTGCCCCTCCCCAAGCCGAGGGCTCTGATGCTGATCACCGGTTAAATGAGGAGGTGGTGATTGGAAGGATATGTGTGGATTTGGGTAGGAGGGGGGAGGTAGAGAAAGATTTGGTTGTAGCTGAAGTGGTGACCTCCAAAAATCTCGTGGAGTTACTGGGTAAGATATTCACATACTGTTCACATTACCAAAGTTTTTTCTTAATTGAAACTTGGGTTGATGGGGGCATACCCTAAAAGGTGTATAACGAAAGAGGAAAGAAGACTATTGTGTCAACAAACAAAGTAGCTGGTGATGAGGACTCTCAGTCTTTCTATAATCTGGGTACTCAGATGGGGATTTCTCAGCAAGAAAAAGTTAGTGAGAGTGGATTTGATTCTACTGCGAGAGCTCTTGATAAAGAGCCTTGAAAAAAGGTGGAACGACCTTGAGTATTCCTACTGAGAAAAGAAAACTGTAGTGATTGGCAAAAGCTTTGGCTTCTTCTTCTGGGGTGGTGAGGAGTTTGCTAGGAATACCTTTAAGGAGTTTGAAAGGAGGAAGAAGGAAGAAAGGTTGAGGAAAGGTGTAACTGGACAAGGAGGAGAGGATGAAGAATATGATGGGAAGGAGGAAGTGTTTAAGGGGAAGATTAGGGTCTTGGTTTTGCAAGATTCTGTTTGCTTGCAATGCAGGTGGACGAATGTGGGGTTGTTGGGGGATCTGATCCTGGTGTTGTTTGATCTTTATTTTCATATTTTGTTAAGAGTTTTGTAGTTTGCTGTTGATTTGTGAAAGTTGCATCTCAGTTTTTTTTTCTCCTTCACTCTTATCACCTTCCTTGTGTATTCTCTTCTTTTTAATGGAAGTCTTATTTACTTTTCAAAAAAATGAAGACAGAAATCATCCACCGTGCACAAAAGGGAAGGTGCAATATAAGGAGATAAAAGAGAACATTTCATCTGTGGCTGAGTCTAGGATTCTAAAAAGGGGAGATATCATAAGAATCTCATCCCACATCCATAAAAACATTGGTAGCTACAGGTAAAGATGACAGGCAAGATGAGCTGTATCTTTAAGCACAAGAAAGGCTGAACATGATTAGAAGAGTGATCAGATTCATGGCTAAACCCAAAGAGGCCAGTTCCAACAATTAGTTCATTCATACCATTTCAGTAACATATCTCAAGAAAACAAGGTAGACAAGATATTTGAAATGGTAAGGAATTGTATTGAAGAAGAAAAAGTATACAAATCACCACATCGTACAACAAGACACTGCATTCTAGCCTTCTAAGGGCTCAAGAAAAAGAATACATCACCCATTTGCATGCCAGTTGTTGGCAATAGGGGTATAGAACTATAGGAAGATTGATAGAAAAGGGAATACACTATTGAAGTTCTCAGTTCTCTTCTACTTCTCATATCAATTACTTTCTAGTTTCTCTTATTTTTCCTTTTTTTCTTTTTTCAATTCAAATTTGATTTGTTACTACAAACAACAAAACTAGTTACTTTCCCAATGACTGGTTTATGGGTTCTGCATAAATTGGCTGGGCACTCCCACACTACATGAGACGTCCAATAAAGATAAGTTTTCTACCAGCCTTCTGTATCTTCCTGGACCATCCAATAGCTCCCCCTCACACTATCATTTACCTTAGTATTTCGGTCAATATGAATTTCAACTGGCTTAGCCCCTAGTAACCCTGTTTCTTCCAGCAAATCAAGTAGATATTTTTGCTGTGAGAGTGAGAGAAATTCCATACTTAGAACTTGCCACCACAATCCCCAAGAAGTACTTCAGCCGACCCAAGTCCTTAGCTCGGAATTTGTTTGCAGAAATTGCTTCTGTTCATCTATTCCTCAAGTATCACTTCATGTGATAATGATGTCATCAACATATACTGCAAGAACAATCTTGTCATATGAAGTATCTCTGCTGAAGACTAAATGATCAACACTGCACGAATGTTATCCAAACGCCTACACCACACTACTGAACCTACCAAACCAAGTGCATGTTCTAACCAACCTGCTAAACCTTCATAATCTTTCATAATCATATCCCATCCATTCCTTATCTTTATCCTATCTTCCACATTGTAACCATAGGATAATCGTGGAATCTATGACCTATCCCATAAAGACAAGAGACCATTCTAAACTGCTAGAACCACCTGCATCTCCGTCTAAAATGTTACTCAACCATGCTTATTTTGAAAGTTAAAACCAGATTTAAAATTGATATTCTTATGATAAATTGGTATAAGAAAGAAAATTATCTAAACCAAAAATCACAAAACCTTACCAAAGTTACCCCCAGTTCTTACAAGATAAATGAACAGAACAAATGATAGGGAAAGTATAACTAAAACTTACCTTGCTCTTTTTGGTCCTCCTGTACAGAACGTACAACTGTTCCAACTATGCGTCTTAGAAAGGATCGAGCCTTTAGATTCTGCAACAAGCAATACTCAATAAACTATGTATGAAAAAGGGCCAGTCCACTGTCTTTTTATATTGAAAAATTATATATAACCTGTTATCCTTTCATAATTGTTGTTGCAAGAATATTTTAAGCAGTCATATAGGAGCATTTCCAATATCTAAAATCAGCTACTTTTTCACTGCTCCATTGCATGATGAAAGATTAAACAAAATGAAGTACAAAAGGCTGTAGGATGCAGGTTACGACAGCATTTATTCAAAAACCAGTGAATAGGGAAAGTAAAATTGATATTCTTATAACAGCATTTCAAAAACCAGTAGAGAAATTCTTATGACAGAAAGTCTTGTATATCAAATCTCCTAAGGTAAATGAATAAATGCTAAATATGAATATAGAAATTTTAAATTCTTTCAAACACTAAGTAGAGAAATTCAACAGCTTTCTTCAGTGTTTTCCTAGAAATTTAAACTGAACAACAAGCAGAAATTCAAGGGTATTGCATCATTCTAATTGCAAGCTTGAAGTGAATAGAACAGAGGGAGGATCTAATGATTATAAGATGCCCAAGGATATCACATCATTCTAATTGCCAGTTTATAACATCCAATTCATTTAATTTACATGGAAACTTTAATAAATTAGCCAAGCATGCTCAAAATCCATTCTGTCTCAATAATGTAAGCTTACTGGTTCTACTTTCTTGGGGTGTAAATACTTTATTATAGTAAAAAGGAAATGCTCATAGTATGGTAAATCCTCGTAGTAAAAAGGAAATACTCGTACTTTCTTGGGGTGTAAATACTCATAGTATGGTAAATCCTCATTAAACCAAATCACCCTCCATGCCAACTTCTGACACCTCCAACTAGACCTGTTTATGGGTCGGATAGCCCAACGGGCTGGCCCGGCCCGGCCCGTTATTAAGTCGGGTTTGGTCATAATTTTAGGCCCACGGGCTCGGGCCTAAAGCACTGGGCCCAACTTTTGTCGGGCAGGGCTCGGTCTTTCTCAAAAAAGCCCAGCCCGAGCCCGAGCCCAACTTGATACTATATATTAAATAATAAAAATTATTTTATATAATATTTTTTCTTTGTTCTTCTCTTTTTTTCCAAGTAATAGTGAGATTTTATTATTTTTGAGTTTTGAAGGTTTTTAATATAAACAAAACACCTTTTTATTGAATAAAAAAAAGAAAAAAATTCTGTCTTCAAATTTCTGGTGGGGCTCGGGCTCGGGCTTGGGCTCAAGACTTAGGCCTAACAGTCGGGCCAGGCTCGGGCTCGGGCTTGAGTGTATTCTGTTAATACATATACAAAGCCCGGCCCGGCCCATGAACAGGTCTACCTCCAACCTTCAAAAAAAGGAAGAAAACATCAAAGCATCCAATAAAGTGAAGAAAAAACCATAAAGAAACCAAAACTCCTTCAGCATAAACCATGGCCCCACTTTGAGCCCTAAGGATGCTGCCAGCAAAGAAGGCTTCAAATATAGAGGCCATCAAGAATAAAGTTAAGACTGCCACTTTCTGAACAAAGTGGCACACAACTCTACTCAAAGTACCATTCCAACCAAAAATCCAATGATCAACCAAGAAAACAACTTCCCCTTCCAACATCTCCTCTTCAAAGTTCGTCCTTTATCCGACTTGTCTTTGTGCCTCTTGTCTCTTTTTCCTTTTTTCTAAGGTGATCTTCATATCCTGAACTCTTTTAGCAGAAATCTCAGTACATAACTGTGATTTAATCTGTGGTTTATTAGTTAAACAAGTAAAATCCAAGTAGAAATCTAGGAGATTTATTAATTAATCTGTGATTTAATCAGTATCGAGAGACCAAACTGCCACCCTTATAACTTATATTCATAAAAGATGAAAATTACACAAATACCCCTGATTATGTGACTTATGAACAGATACAATAAGAACCATAAATAAAAGAGGAAAAAGACTAAAATGACCCTGCACAAACACTATAATTAAACAATAACCATTTGCTTCTAAGGTATGCCTATCATCCTGTCTGAAATTGTCCACTGTATGCCTAACAAGAATGCGAGAAGCCAGATTGGCCTTCTGCTTAGAAGATCCATAAATAGAGGTTAACAAAAAAAAAAGGAAATCACTAAGAACAATCATGAAAGATATATGCACATTTACATGGCATCGAACAAATTAAGGAAGCAGACAATTCAAAATTAATATCAATCATGGTTCAAAGTATTGACACATTTCTTAAGGGCAATACTCTTTTTCATTTTTCAGGCTGACATTTCAAGGATAAGCATATTAGGAGGGATTCTTATGTTTAAACAGAAGACACTCCCTAAATCCCTCAAAATAGTATTCCAGTGGCTTCAAAAATCAATATGTATCATACAATATGCACCAACATGTTGCAATAGCTTGACCCTTGAAATCAATAGACATTGATTAACTTTGATAAAACAGTTGATATAACAACTGCTGAAAGGCAACATGTAACAAGATAATTCTACCTCTTCTGACCCTTGAATACGCTCCATCTCCATTTGACAAAGTATGATTCTCTTCTTCTTCGATATACAAGTTTCTATTGATTGCATTAGTTGTCTTTCCAAGGCTTTGATCTCTGTTTCCTCAATCTCCCTACAGTTAAGAAAACAAATGATGAGATTCTAGTATCTCTCAGAACTATGACAATTTCTGATGAAACAGAACATGCACAAAATGATTCCTTCTTGCTAAATACATTAAGTCCTAATTTCATTGGTTATTAGTAACTGAAAATTTAAACAATATAGTTAAGTCCACTAGGCAATCCTATGTACTGACCTGGAAAAGCAAGCCAACATCTAGGTGACAAAATAAAATAAATAAACAAAAATATACATATTACACAAGTATTATGTAAAATTACATGTTAATTGTAAATTACTAAACTACAAAATCAGTGAATGATTTAATGACAACTTGTGCCTGATTTTGAAAAGAGATGACAAGATTATTTTTTTTAGAGAAGTATAAATGTAGTAATATGAACAAACAGTACAGAAAGATGATATACTCAGGGAGACAGGGACCCCTAAAAACATGTCCCCTCTGACCTTGATCCCCCATCCTGTTTTACAAGAAGATTGTTGTAGAGAACACTGATGTGGGCCCCACAGCTACGGTCCCACTGTGTTCGTAGGGCAGAAGGTGTTCTAATCTGCCTAGGGTTAGCTATTGGTCATTTAGTTGTTTCAGTTGTTATTTATTTCAGTCTTATTTTTGCTCTATTTGTTATGTAAAGACTAAGGGCAGATCTGTCCTTTCCATGTAATGAGCATAACCTATAAATATTAATTAAAGTGGTGGCGGCAGAACATTAAGCTTCTGCTCCTCCTTTTTCAACTCT